GTACGGCGAAGCCACTGTCACCGCTCAGGCAGCGCTGCTGTTTTCCGTCGCTTCCGTCACCAACATGTTGGCGCCATACCGGCAGCAAACGTGTTTCGACGTGTTCACGCTGATCCTACAGGTATAATTATAGTAATCGTGTCTCCCGATGCGCAGGTGTTCTCTCGCCTGACAGAGCACATAGGTACAACTTCCATAGCCGGGTTTTTGACGCCTGGGTTATTATACTATATTATAGTACATCCTCAGTATTTTTTTTTTTAATATAATAAGTTTAATAAACCGGAAACCACTTTTTTGAATTTTGATTCATATTTTAGATGGTAGGTACATTGACATTTTCAAAAATATTATCTGCTGAATAGTATTATGTAAAAAGGGTGCTTCTCATTTAAAAAATAGAAGTTTGTACACCCCCCCCCCCCCAGATCATTCAATAGAACAAAAAAATCTCAATTATTCGTAAACGTGGTGTTTAAGTAAGAATATTTAAAAATTCCAAAAATCAGATTTTAAATAACTTCGTTATTAAAGAAAAAAGTGATCAGCCTATAAATTTATTTTGTCTTGTATATAAGCGTCTCTTTGAATTTTTCTAGACGACATTCATTATTATATATAATATAATTACGACTGGTATTGTTTAAATCACGTGTTTGTTAATATTCTGATTTTTAATTGTTAAGTAGGTACTAGGTACCTACTCGTAGGTTAACATTAAAAAAAAATAATATTTTTACAATAAAAGTATTGTAATGTATATACTAATAAAATTCTTTAATTTTTTCAGTACGGAATTGTCGGCATTTCCGTGTTTGCTTTGGTCGTGTACAACGTGGACAAATTGCGCTCTTCGCCCTGTAGGTTTTACACGACATTTGCCATAGTCGTGTCTGCCACTATAGTGTTACCACTGCATATCGTCCTAAACGGTAGTCCAATACTGAGAATCTTTCATTGGGTTACTAGGGACCGGAACACGGTGAGAGCTCGCCGATATTATGATTTACTTTCTGTCTTAAATACCTCTACAAACTATATATCTGTATTAAGTATACAAATATATACAAATAAATCGTTTACAGACGATACTGCTGTTGTACTGGGCTGGCTGTACAGTGTTCGCCATCGTTTTCGTATTCGTGCAAATAATGAGCGATGCCAAGGCGTCAACGTCGATTAGAAAGAACTTTCATCTGGTCGCTTGCCTCGTGTACGCACCTGGTCTTGTTCGCGATCCTTGTCTGTTGTACTTGGCCAGTGGCGTGGTTTTTGCTGGTTTCGTTTTTTTGGAGGTGAGTACATTTATATATTATAAATCAAAACAGTTGTAACTTACTTTTCTATGATAATGTTTAAAACTGCATACGTAACTCATTAGACATACTTATATAATATAACGCGCATGATATGTTATATTGCTATATAGTGGTACTATATATACATAATCTATTTACTCATTTTACTCGTATGATATGCTGGATGTGGTAGGCACTATATAATACTGCATATGATATAGGCACCCTTCTTTTAATTAGAACCTGTTTATTTTTAAGTATTGACGATTTCCTCTTTTAAATAAATGTCCTGTAGCTATACGATTATATTAAAATACATTTTCTTTCTTTCTGATAGACTTTGCGCATAGCCAACATGCCACCACTGGGCGTGGTCCTCCAGGAAGGTTTTCGTGTATACTCTGACGAGAAGGACCAAGGACCTGTGGCATTTACTCCGATCTACTTGCTCGTCGGATGCTCTCTTCCTCTTTGGATCCATCCGCGACCTGACTCCGGGAACCTGTTGCCACTGCTGTCTGGCGTGTTGTCTATAGGCATTGGAGACACGGCTGCTAGCTTGGTAGGCTCCCGGATAGGACGTCATAAATGGAAAGGTAGGTCTTGTCTATCAATTAATTTCTTTAGTAACGAGTGTGCTTAAGGTTTATTCCTAAATATCTAATTTAAATAATTTCCGATGCTTAGATTGTGCATGAAGTTATAATATCTGTTATTGTGTATAATATTAAAATATCAGCTTTAGGTATATGTGTATAATATACGAAATCGGTAAAAATACAATTGAATGTTAGTAGGTACTTAAAACTTAAAACGAAAAATAAGGATTTTGAAAAAACGATTATTTTTGTTTATAAGAGCGTTTATTCAGTATTTACAATCTGTAGTATACATATAGTTTATGCATATTGTGGGTTCGGTATGGTTTCTTTGACACTGAACTGATACTGATTAGATAGTCATGTTCATCACCAAAGCCCCGACACATCTTGGATTATGAAAACCATAAGTATGCTCTATAGGTATGGCCGTAGGACTGGAAACTCTGCCAATGAGGTATTACTTTTTGTATGGGGTGTTTTGACTTTGATTTTGGAACATCAGAGAGAAGGGAGTTAAAGGTGTCTTGATTTATCCGAGATTGTTCTAAATCTGCGAAGAATAGTAACACCGATGATTTATTCATACAGGCGGCATTCGAAATATTTTTCACTTGATATCCCAGCTCCGATAAATCATTCAATCATTGGTTATCAATTGGTGACCAGCGGAGGAATAAATATCTCTAATGACAACTATAAATGGTTTATTATTTTTCTACCGATAAGCGTAAAATAATACTTTATTTTCCTTGAATAATTAAAAAATCAACGTGTATTAAAATGTGTACGGTTATACGTAATTTACAGGTACAAAAAAAAGCATCGAAGGTTCCGTGGCTTGTTTCGCTTCTCAAGCTCTGTGTATTGTCGCTCTCAAATATTCAGGTTTGTACAAAGCATAAATAATCCAAATTTATAACAAAATCGGCTATTCATAACTTATTTGGAATGTACAAATAACAAAAAATATCCATTTATGCAAATAGTTCACATAGCTACATAGGTATCCATTTTTGTTTGACTTTCTTATTAGGTACCTATGTTTAGGTTCTTTATATTTCTAATATAAAGGACTAATTTTTGTATCTATTTTTAATTTACTAATCATGTTTGAATTCTGAATTTCTTTCTTATTGATTAAATTGATTTTGTTATAAATTCAGATTCTTATAAAAATTTGAAATACATGTTTTTATAATACATTTTTTTTTTATAAAAATTATTAGGTTTAGCATGTGACATTAATCTGATCATACCTCTGCTCGCAGCCGGTTTTGTAACTTTCGTTGAAGCAAAAACTGAACAAGTTGATAATTTAGCATTGCCCCTTTTGTTGTATACGCTACTATTGAACTGTTAAATTAGTAAGATGTATATTATTGAAATTTGTTGATTTAAAAAAAAATGTAGATAATGTTTTATCAAATTTAATTTTTTATATTTGAAATAAAATAATATATTTATTACAATTTACAATAGAAAATTTTATATCTTATGGTAATATCAAATAGTTCTTAAGGTTACATTTCAGAAAAATTACCTACTGTATAATTTATAATTGAATAGAAATGTTTTCATTGGAAAAACAGAACCTTATATCTCCACAGAACACTCCTTAAGAAGTACAAAAAAACTCAAGAATTTTAAAAAATGGTCTTTAAGTATATTTAAAATTTAAAAAATCAGATATTGAATATCTACATTATTAAAGAAAGAAGAAATAGGTGAGAATGCTTGGTGAATCACACTGTATAATATATTTGACTTGATTTGGTAAATATTAGTTCAACCTAAACCTACCATACCAATAGAATAATAATAAATTAATTACCTAATACCAATATAAATATTTAGTAAAATGTCCTCAGATATATAGGCCAACAGACCATTTCCGCTCAGAATCGTGTAAAGTATTCAATGATTTATCATTGAATTAAAAGTTAACACTTCTATCTACTTCAATGACCTACTCAATGTCTAGATGCACTCGACACATACAATTATACAACTGGGTGATTTATCCGATTTTTAATTTGCATATAAATATTATTTTGACGGATTTTAAAATGTGTTATTAGAGTAAAAATGTGTACGAATTTAACCTTATTATGTTACTGATAAATATTTTTTGTTACTTAATGATCATATATTCATATTTATTAGTGCTGGGTCATCTATCTAATCACCTATATTAATTTTCTCACTGAATATTTTTGATTATAAAACCTATGTATATAGGTACCTACTATCTAACCTCTAAGTAATATAAACCTTATAAAAACACATTTTTAAATCACTTATATTGACTTAACCTGACATATGGTTCATTTAACAGAAACGAGAAACTTGTATACTGCATTTTATTTTCGAAACTCCCTAGTTTTTAGTGGATGTATCAAAAAATATATATAATCTTAAAAACTAACCTTGTCACCTCGGTATAATTTTTTCCTATTAATAGTGGTATACTATTTACTATTAATAGTATTTCAACAACCAACATTGTGAATATAGTGATTAAACCTATCTATATACCTACTGATAACTCAATAACTGATGACTGATGTGTGATGTGGGAATATGCTTGAAGAATATATCATAGTATCTACTTACCATACTAACTACCTATAATGTTGACAGTGTGAAAGCAGGTAATTCATAAATATTTGTAAATACATTATAGGTAGGTATTTGAAATTTGTGTATTTTTGATGAGCCTCACAATTCACTATCGTAAAAAATACAAAATATCAATTTTTAATTAAATATTAACGATTATAACAACTAATGAATACGTGCACAATGTGTGCTTGCTTCATGCTAATATTGAACGTTAAACTTTAAAAGTTAAAATCCATAATCACAGTTGAATTTTCTAATACATATTATTTTTGTACCCATACAACTAAATACTTACTAAATATTCGAATTATATTTTTAACGCACAAAATATAAAAATTTTAAAATAGTATTAAAAAAAAAAACTAAAAGTTTACAATATGTGACATTATTATTAATATACAATAACTAATATTAATTGTGTACATGGCAGAGCTTAGAAAGTTATAAAATAAAATAATTTTGATTGATTTTTTTAATTTGATTAAATTCAGCTTTTGATTTTAATAATAACTCAATTTACTCCAAGTACCTGAAACAATAATGTGAATATTATTTTTATCAACCCAATAACTATAATAGTTATGTATTTACTTTGAAGTCCAATCGTTTTTTCCATGTCGTTTGCCATTTTTATTCTTATCGCTTTGGCCATAAGACACTTTGCTTACGGATGGAAATGTATCATTTCTCATGCTTTTTGACATATTCCTATACATAGGTAGTACGTTTTAAATAAAAAATAGTATAAATAAAGGATAATTATAATTTACCTAAGTAATATTTTCTATTTACGCATTGTTTTTAATAGTTTACTAGAAATATAGCTCTGCAGATAAACGTTTTTCGTAAATATAAAGGACATAAAATGTTTTGTAAGTATAGACATTTTAGATACCTATATAATATATTACCTAATATTTAGTAACTTAACTCAACCTATAAAAGGAAAATAATATGCTTCAGATATAGGTGTACGTTATTACTATCTATAAACAATGACGTCAAAACTAATAAGTAATAACTATAGACTATAGTCTATATATAATACATTTTCCTATAGTAATAAAATAAAACTTGAGAACTGTAATGTTTTTCTGTATTTTAAGCATAAAATTAACAAAATATCTGTAACACTAACGTAGTACTAGTATTTATATAATTATATTTATATTAAAAAAAGACAATGTTATTATTTTGGTATCGTTTTGATCGTTACGAGAGTGTTAGAAAAGTTGTCAGCCGTTATTTCTCACTCTTTTGCTGTCGAAAATCCCAAAATACCACTTAAACATATTATTTCGTTTTTTGACGAACATTTAAGTATTATTGATAAATTATTATTATTTTACTCATTCTCAGCTGCTTGGAAGTTGGAAGCCCTCCCCGTTACATATCTGGCCACGGATAGATAATGTTGCTTGGCGCTCAGTTTCTTTTTACTCAACACCATGACATCCGCTTCATTATCGTACCATGTTTTCTCTTTATTACCGACTGGTTTATTCGCCAATGTTTCCCATTGTTTTTCGTATCTAAAATTCATAGTTACAATACTATTACGGTTTTAAACTCTTCAAACTACCTTGAAGACTGCAGCTATCAAACTACTAGTGATTTTGCAATGATATTTAATTTCATATTAAAAATTATGATGTCTGTATAACAATATAATTGATAGTATTTATTTATAAGCTCACTTCAATTGTTTGTTACTGTTGGATTGTAAGAGTGAAATTTGAGATTTCATTAGTTGAACGGGCTGCCTTTTTTGTTGGCCAATCTTAGCGTAGGACACCTCTCCTACGTCCTGACTCAAACGTAGTTGTCCTACTTGGAAGTATGGTTGCCTGAAATAAAAATAGAATGACCAATATTCAAAATTTACAAAAGTCAACAAGATTAAATTTTACTATTTTTATGCTTCTATAAGTGTAGCTGCGCATTATTATTAGCCTTTACGTACCTACTACAGTTTTGTATGACACAAGGGTAGTAAAATAAGTAGGCAAGGATTTCACCATATGGGCTATGACATACATTTTAAACTATTTTAAAGATATAATATAACAATTGTACGTGTCCCTACATCAAATAAATATTTTTTTCTTTATAAATATCTAGTCTTATTAATCGGCATTGCTCAGATATGAATGAATCCGCATGGCAATCCATCTGCGGTATATGAATAGTATCAAGTAACTCTATTTTTACACGAACTAATAATTGTAGGCAGGAATAAATAACGCGTATATGGTTATGATCATAGTATTATTAATATCGGTTAAGCCACACTAAAATATGGTTATACTGGTTCAATATGTTTAATATTATCTAAAGTCTAAACCTTCCTCAAATTGTCAAAATCGGACATGAAGGTTTTGATTCTACAAATCTCACCATATACACTTTGCCTCTAATATTATATGATACATTGATACCTCTTAGGTAGGTACTCAATTACACATTTAGGTACCATATTCTATATAGGTAGTTTTATGAACTTAAATGAAAAAAACAATGCGATATAGAACATAATATCCAATCATAACAACTATTATTATTATTTTTGTTATCTGCTACCAATGGCAACCCTATATTGTATAAAAGAAAAAATATTCAATATCATGATCTGAAACAAAATTTACGAGTGAGCCACTCAATAACAATCTTATGTGTTGAAAACGAAACTACAAAAGTACAACCCTCCCTTAGCTGAGTCTCAAGGAATCTATTGATATGACTTTTATTGAAAACAGCCAAGCAGTTTTTGAATCTTTAGAGAACGAACAAACAAACATTAATATGTATATATTAGACTAGATGATCCAACAATGTTTGGCTATTGATAGATCGTAGATAGACATAGGTAATTAAAACCATTCAGTGAAAATTTCATGTCGGTCGTTTTCTTAGAGTAACGCCGCCAAACACTAAAATCGATTTTGCCTAAAAATTCTTGTTTTGACTTAATTTTTTTTTTGTTAGGTTATATTAGGGTATGTTCTTCTAAATTGTATATTCTCCTATTTTTTGCTCTACAAGTTTACTAGTAACCACGCTTGTCTGAACATTGAAAATTTCAGTTGTGTAACTATATAAAGCTTATATCTATTATGCGTATTGATAAGTGCTGCTAATGCGAAAACAATTTTTCATCGAAATCTTACAATTATTGTTAGAGGATAAAAACATTAAAAACACCCTTGGATGAAATAATAATGTGTGTAAACACACATTTTTTTATATAGGTAAGATTTATCAAAAAAAAAATGTTGTTGATAATACGAGTCCCTCGTCGTGTTCTGATGGTATGAGTAATATAATATAATAGTATGTATAGTCAATACCTCAACGCGCTTTGTGCGCTTGGTCTTCGAATCGGATTCCAACTAAGTAGTAATTCCATAAGATGTATTCCATCACGACTTGCATTTGGTACAACTGTATTAAGCGCCAATCGTTTGAATTGAGGAAACTTAAAACTCATAGCTGATGCCAACTGGTAACCTTCAAACCATTCTTTCTGAAATAAAAACAATCAATAATTATAATAATATTCTTTTAAGATGGTTTAATTTTGCAGTATATTCTATACCAATATTAAACTATCATAATATTATAATTTATAGCATCATACTTCAAGTTAGCAAACAATTGTTAAATTATTATTATTTAACTACGAATATTCCTGTAGGTACCTACTCAACGAGTACCATGTGCCTGAAAACAAGGTTTCCTCTCACGCTTAAAATGTCTATACTTTATATTATCACGACATGTTACATGTATTCGTAATACGCATTACCTATGTCCCGGTATACCAAAATATCATGCTAAGTAATTTTGAACACGAATGTTATGTCAGCAGTACAATAGTACATCCTTAATATCTACCTGTCTATACCTATATTATATTGTAAGCAACTCATATTGTTTTAAAATAATAATAAATCAAATAACATATCTATACATACCTTATTCACTTTTACAAAACATACAAAAAATTGCGTGTAATCGTTGTTCAGAAAATTATCTGTTCATTTTTAATAAAACGTTTAATAAAAGTAGCATATAATAGGTCGCTACTCACTATACATAAGTATATAATGAAATAAGTCATCGTGATCAAAAGTGACGACCTGATATTAGTTGAAATGAAAAAAAATTAAACATTGGTTCAACAATTACTTCAAAAGTATTATTGATATTAAAATAGGTTGGTAATTATAGACATTAACTTCTACATATTTTATTATAAATAGATTTTTGTGAAAAAACACAGTATTATTTATTACTTACCTACTAAAAAATCTGAAAGTATATTTGAAACTTTAAAGTATTAAAGCATTATTCTTTTATGTAATGTTTATAATAAAAAGCAAAATGCAAATGGAAATAATGCGTGTTGAGCGAGCTTTTTTATGTTAATTGTTTAAGGTGCCTATATACCTACTACCTTTGCATTTGTTTCTGTTTTATATCTTATGTAAGTACCTCAGTTACTACTTTGTAAGTACACCCACCACAATTAAATGAAAAAAATTATATAGCAGTCACGTCAAAAGTTCAAAAGGTCAAAAATTATACATGATAATACTTCCATTATCATTCATCAGTGTCTGATACAAAATGATACTTCCGTAAAATACCTAACCAATAGAAAATTCATTCAAATAATATTGTTGCTAATTTTTCCTATAAAGGATTTCGAAGCTTAAATATAGAACTAGCCGTCAGGACACGCATGTCGCGTGATTTAAAATATTATATTTAAACTATGTTTCATTGAAAATCGAATTCATTGCATTTATATTATGACATTAAATCTCTCTCTCTCTCTCTCTCTTTCTGTATATAAATATATAAGTACCTATATTAATTGACAACCGTTTATTTGTTTGTAAAATGTGATTTAATGTCATAGTAAAACCATTTATGTTTCTACAATGTTTTTATTTGGATACATTATATTATTTATAACAATATATAAATAAATAATAAATATATATAGTGTAGACTTACTCCGCACATTCAGTTTTTAGTTAAGGTATCAGCTATTCGACTTAATTGAAATGATAAATTATAAGCTATACCGGTATGAGAAAATGCGGAAATCGCAAATCAAACGAATTTATTGCCATCGTATACCCACCTACCCATATTATAAATTAACCCATCCATACATTGCACTGTATTATCCATCCGCTTATGAAAATATTTTTGAATAAGTACAAAAAAAACTGTAGGAAAATTTAGAATTCAATCATTTATTGATTTTATCATTATTTATTTACAATAATTATCTTCGATGAAATTGATTAGATACATGTATTTTGACAGACAATTTTGATAGAAAACTTAGATCTTTGATAAATCAACTTATATTATTTTGATATCATTATTATACGTAGGTATGGAGGCCACCCCCAAAGGCAAATGCCTTTAACTACAGTTATTACACGGATCCTCATATTCGAGTGAGTTTAATAACATTCGAGTGTAGCGAATAGATGCGAACAATTTCTATTAAATGTAATTTATTAATTATTTAAGTCTGAACAAATTACCTAACTAGTACCTACCTTTAACAATAGAGTAACGTTAATTTAAAAAAACTTAATAATATTTTATAATTGACTAATGTAGTATAAACATCATATGTACCTAATATGTTGTGTACATGCTATTTTATTAATCATTGCTTGATCTCTACTATTTATTTTAATGTAGATACTATCTACTTTCATAGGTGGAAATCCATTACAAATATTGGGGAGGCTTTGCCCTTTCACAATAACTGTTGGACTTTTAGAAGGATCTTGATGGACTTTTGGTGGGCTTAGCCTCCAAGCCAACTCCCTCCTCCCGATTTCCACCTATGTCTACTTTGATGAGTTATGACAAAAAATTGCATCCCTAGCTTATTAATAATATATCTATCTAATATAGGAAACTTTGGGGAAACTCTGCCACTCAACACTGATTTTTAATACGTCATAATTAATGCATATTATGTATTAAATATTAATAAATAATACCTAAATGTAGGTATAACGATTATATAAAACATGCTTTATGTTAAGATCCGGAGTAGGTAGGCACAACATGAGTTGTAGCATTAAGAACAATGCCGTACCTGGGGGGGGGTTCAAAATTTTTATATTATATTAAATTACCTATAAAATATTATAATAAAATTAGAACACATTTTTTTTTTGCTTAAAACCCCCCCGAAATTAATTTCCAGTTACGGCCTTGATTTAAATTATATCATAATCATGCGTCTTATTGCCATATAAAAGAAAAACAAAATTATTCGTCTAAATCTGTAATATTCAGTATTCAGTGCGTACCTAACACTGTTATGTCTATTAAAAATATTACTATGGTGACCACATTATGTATAATGTAGTAAGAAGTTGATATTTTGATAGTTAAAAATCCAAATAGATAATAATGTATAATGCCATTACCATAGCACATAGCAGTGTCGTAATACCTATCATATTGTGATCGTAATAACAAAAAACCCATTTTTTTTTGTTTCATCCGTTTGACTTATAATTTAATTATATTATATCATAAACGGGGAACATCTTTTCGTTTAAGAAATGAATTATATTATAATATAGCTGATGTGCAAACAATTAATTACAAGCACATTTGAAACAACTAAAGAGTATTGGGTAATTGTTCTAACGTACCTAATATCTACTATATAGGTACATGCTACAGTAAACGTTGCAGTGAATCTATGACATTATGCGACTGCAGTATATCATGCAAACATAAGATAGAAAAATAAACCAGGCCTATGAATAATGAGTAATGTTGAGTGGTACCCCAACGACTCCAGTCTCCAAGAACTAGACGGCGGCTAGACCAGTTTATAATATTTTATACTCGTATAGTTACATACTATATGAATATATGATCTACGTTTAAAATGTGAAACAATCGGTGTGCGGGTAGGTACTCATTTAGGTTAGTTGCTTTACAAGAAAAAATATTGTCATGCCGCCACTGCACACCTATACATCGGCTAAAGCTAGGTACCTTGTCGGGCGTGCCCAGGACCGAGCATATTTTGAATATTTGGTCGATCTCGCTCGTGCCCGGAAACAACGGTCTGAACGTGTACAGCTCGGCCATGATGCATCCGACGGCCCACAAGTCGATCGGAGTGCTGTAATTGATCGAATGCAACAACACCTCGGGCGCCCGATACCACCGGGTGGACACGTAGTCGGTGTAAGGGGGGCGCGACCGAGTCTCCCTGGCCAAACCGAAATCGGCGATCTTGACGAGCTCGGGGCCACAGCACAGTAGGTTCTCTGGCTTCATGTCCCGGTGGAAGAAACCGTGCCTGTGCATGAACGCCAATCCTTGCAATATCTTTGAATATACACACAAGCGATGGAATATATATTTTATACATGTCTCATTATTGTTATTATATTACGTTCAAATATGGGTATTATATAGTATATACTATATATACGTAATTCAGGTACACATAATACACATTATATAGACATATAGTTTAGAGAAGGGGACGAAATCCGAATATCTGGATGACTATAATATATGGATACAAATTTAGTTTCGATCCCAGGAACGCTCTATTACGGATTATTTTCGATTATTTTCTTTAAATTATTAATGAGTAATAAAGGGATTCAATCTCGGCATTGTTTTTTTTTTTATCAAAATATACCTACATGACTTATATTTCTATGCCAATTATACCCACTATTACTTAGTAGAAATCAAATTAAATTTTCGAAAACATTTGAATTTGTCCATCAAGCTTAAACAGACTGCAAATTTTCCAACTTGTTTAAATTTGACCTCTTAAATACACCCTAATTTGATTGGAAATATTAAAATGCCAACAATAGTAAACTCGAAAAATTAATAAAAAATGTTTAAGAAAGTCGTTATAGCCGTTATAGGTTAGGTTAGTTGGATTTTTTGGTTTCAAATTTTTATTTGAACTACTTATTTGAAACCTTTTATTACATTTTTAATACTTACCTAGTAACGCAAAATGAATATTTCAATTTCATACATTTTAACTATCAAATTAATTGCAAATAATTAACAGTTGTATTGTGACTATGAACTTATATTTTTTAATCGGTATTTGAAAAGAACCTATAGCATTAAATTTTCATGGTTTTTGACCAAACGAAAATGTATAGAAAAAAAGTCAATAAAATTGTAAATTTCATGTATCTAAGATTATTTGTTTTTTAAAAAACCAAAATCAATTTGATCAAATACTGGTTTCGTTATATTTTGGTACTTACTGAAAACAAATTTTTCATAGCCCTACCTCATCGGTTTTTCTCATAAACGTCATTATATCGACGGTATTACATTTAAGTACTCATACTACATAGTTAAACTAGGATTTTGTTTTGCTAACTTAGTCCTAAATAAATAATAATTTAATGTGTGCAAAAAGAGTCAAAGTACTTTTTTCCAGAATTTTTCGAAAATAATAAATAATAATGGATAAACCCGTAATATCGATTACAATAAAGGAAGGAGTTAATTATTTTAGTTTAAGTTAAAGCATATTATATTTGATCAAGTAATTTAGAATAATGTCATCACTAATTATCTAAATATTACTATTTACCACAAAGAATAAATACGAAGAGTAGGTATAATTGTATAATTAATTAAAACCTATACCAATCATTTTTTTTCACCTTGGTTTGAGTTATTATTGTGACTCGGCAGTTGGCTATATACCTATATTATGTAATACCTATTTAGAATGTTCTTAATATGTATATTATCGCATATACGTTTTACCTGATAAAGTATATTTCTGATGGACTGTTCGGGAAAAAATTTACTTTGACTCCGCATAAGCTGATAAAGATTTTCTTTCATATATTCGAATACAAAGTAGAGAGTATCGTTTTCTCTAATGACTTCTCTCAGCTTTATTAAATTGGCATGATTTAATTTTTTCAAAGACTGAAAAAAATATTGTAACATATTTTGATAAAACTCGGAATTTTGCATGGAGTAAGGGAATACCTACCTTGACTTCTCTCAGATTCATTGCTTCGTCCCAAGAATAATATTTTCTTTTCATTCTGTAAGAATTAAATGTATTTTAAAATACAACACACGGTATATTAGAACATGTAGCTATAATTATTATTTATTATCATTATTTTATAGGTACCAATAGGCTAACCATAACATGGGTACAGCTAATTATATGCATTAAACATTTATAATATTACTTATTTGAGTTATTAGACATTTGTATAATACTTAATGTAGTCTAAATGATTGAATTTATTAATATTTTATGGTCAATAACGTATCAAATATGTCTAGTGTTTAAATTCTATGAATGTTAATATTATGTTAAGCAAAAAAAATCTGACATAAATATATTTTTTGAATTACGGGTACCTATAATAGTACCTGTATATTATTCCTACAGAAATTCCATAGGTGTGCTGATGTGCAATGATGAAAACCTCTACGAGTTACAGCTACACGTACCTATTCAAGTTGTAATTTATGATACGGGGATAAATCATAAATTTAGTTGCATATTACATCATGATGCATCACATGTTCTACGAGGCAGTAATAATTGCAAATTGCAATACACGTGTATGGGTATAACAGCGCATTTTACACGAGATACAACACTTGTATGAAGCTTATTAAAAACATATTTTACCATCTCCCTAGGACAGAATAATATGAATAAGATGTTTTTTTTTTAAAACTTCATTATTTTAATATAAAATAGCATAAAACCAATTATTACAATGTAGATACCTATACTTATAATTTTTTTAAGAATGTTATAATTTTTATTTTGTTTTATTTTTATGATCACGTAAGAAATTCAGATTATTATTATTTATTACTAAGGAAAGTGAAATTTAATTTACCTTTTAATGGCCACCTTTTCTCCTGTATCGATGTTTTGTCCCAACACGACTGATCCATACGTGCCGTCTCCAAGCTGATTCAGAGTCATGTATCTGTTCATGTTGATTTATTGTCATTTCTTCATGAACACACGTGGCGTAAATATAGCACTGTTCTGTCGATGTGTTCTTGAGTCGACGACAGTATTGTAATATTATTATTTAAGCAAGTGCGGGTACGCCCGTGTTTTTGAAAGCGAATATCTTACTGTACGTTATATTATAAGCGATTAGCGTACAGTTAACATTGTATGCGACACAGCGGAATATTATTAGGTAGATTCGTACGATATATTGATCTGCATTCTGCGGCACGAAGACACCACATTGTACGAGGAACGCAGACCGTATAGGTATATGATTATTATTATACAAAGCAGAACACTCAGAACCAACCACCTGCACCGATATAAAATATAAACCGTTGCTAGGATACATTTCAGGTATTTTGTACAATCACAATACCTTGTCCGTATAGGTATACATATATTAAACGAGAATAGTAAAAATACATATAATAAATATAATTGACTCCATCGTGATAACACAATAATTTATATTATTTAGTAATAGACTGCGATCCATAAATGTGTATATATATATAACGCCGTTCTATGTAATAATTATATGTTTGTATAATATGCTAAAGGTACCTTGGTACCTAAATACCCAATGCTAGTTTTAGGCAGGTGGTTTGACTTATTCCACCTAGAAATAGACGGATACGGTAAACTATAATTTGTGTACACTCTTGTGAGGTAAAACACTGCATGTACTCCTCTATAACTATAAATACAAAAAGTTATTTATTACACTTTTACCTAACCGGTCAATCCGCGGTAAATATTGGTCATATGTCAACGCAAAATACTAAATAGATACGAGTGTAAAAAAAATAACGCTTAAAAAGCTGGTAGGTAAGTGGGTGACACTTTTTGTATAGATACATTAGATGTCCAGAGAGTCACTGAAATACAAGCTTTTCAGTTTTAGACGAATCGAAAAATATTGTAACATTTATAAAAAAAAATACAACTTTTCAAATTTCAAATGTCTATTGTTCTCCAACGAGTCAAAATATTTTGTATAGAATATTGTGATAAAATAAACATTTGATGAAAATTTCAAGTCTTTTACTCTAGGATTATAAATTTTTGAAAAATAACATAATAATATCGTTTTATGAGAATTTGTTAATTTATGGCTGAATATCCAATGTCTACATCGACGCTTATAAAAATTATTGTGGATTTACGCTTAACTTTTTTTTTAAATGTCCACTAACAACAATTTATGAGGAACGTTGTATTAAATTTTCAAGTTTTTTGACCTAGTAAATATTTTTTATTGGCAATAATTTAAAAACAAATGTAATAGAAATTGCTAATATAAGTAATATTCAGTGAACATTTCAGGTATCTAGGGTTAATTTTTCTCGAATTCCACTGAAAAACAAAAACGATTTTTTCGAAAAATCTGTTTTTCTTAATTTTTTGTTGGTTTTTAATGATGCGTTTGAAAAACTATTGGGAATTTTTTTATTTTTACCTCCCTAAGTCCCAGCTAGATTCACTTTCCTACCAGAAAAGATGCTGTTGAAGAAAATCGTAACGTTTTCACTCAGGTGATGACAGTTACGTAAAAAAAAAGAATAAAAATGTCCTGCATCCTCGTAATATGAATACATTCATCGCGTCTAAAATTATCGTTTAAGGGGCTGATCCTACGTGCGATATATACTTAATATTATATGTATCTATTATATTGCAAGTTTATTGGAGCACAAACATTTTTTATTTCACCATCGACAATAAAAATTATTTCATTCTGTTTTCTAAATAAGTTCATAACTGTAAGGTGTCACAAGTTGTTTGCGTTTTGATATTTCAATAGGTATTAAAGTAACATAATAAGTAAACATGTACTTATACAACGCATGCAACGATTTATGAGTAACAAACAAATTGTAACAAAAATTGATTAAAATTATTTATTTGTTGTTGAATTTTTTAATTGATTGAAGTACCTACTGAAATTAACTCTATTACATGCATTTTTAAAAAAAGGACCTCCTGTATTAGGTTATTTATTAAAGCTTTAATGAATAGGTATGATAGTGAATTTTAAATAAAAAACCTACTTTTTTTAAATTAACTTTTAACGGGTTAAAAAGTTAGTCAACTTGCCGTCCACCCTCGGCAATTACAGGGCCGAGAAAGCTGAAGTTCAAAAAGATCTTATCAAAATTTCATCACATAAGAATTACACTAGCGAATTACTAGAATGTTCTCGTTTCGCCAATTTTTAGCAAGCACCTAACCAAGGTTTAAAAAATTGGACTAATTTAAATAAAAAATAATTCATAAATGTAAGAAAAAAAGTATTTTGATGCTCAATAAACCTCATGAAATTTATTTATAATTTACCTGCTGTGAGAAAATAATTTCCATTTAGCACACTATTAAATTTAATACAATTAAGACTTAGCATCATTCTTTAAAGAAAAATAGCAATTGTTTTATTTTGTTCGAAGAAAATACAGGATGGAATCAAGAAATAATATTATATTAACAACCCTATTCCTATGACGTATAAGTTTCATATAATTATACATTAAACCACAAATAGTGGGCTTAACACAAGTTTATGAGCAATAACATATTTTAAGATAACTTACATTCAGTAAGAACCTCAGTTAAGTAACATTTGGGATGGAGGATAATCCACTTAAAATTTTTTTTCATAATTATGTTGGTCATCACTCATCAGGTAGTTTTTAAAAACCAAGATGATCATTGAAACGGTAAACTATCTAAAATATATTACTTCTAAGAGAAACCAGGATGTTCATAAATCATCTCAAGTTGCCTAGTTTTTAACTTTAATTAAGAACTTTACCAAACCATTATAAAAATTAACTTTAGGATAAAGTTATTAAATGCAAGAAATTCAGTAAAAATAAATCAAAGTAATTCTGATAAGTGTTTTTATTATTGATCATAGAAAGTAAATGCATCAGAAAAAAAAACAAGTTATCTGTTGGTGTTTAAACAATGTAGGAATGTGAATAACAAATAAGTTTAATCGACTTCTTCAATAGTTGGGCCGGCTCCTGAACCAGCACCTGGAGCGGGACCACCAGCACCAGCAGCTCCTGGGAATCCAGGCATACCTCCGGGACCACCTGGCATACCACCACCAGCACCAGCGTACAATTTGGTGATAATTGGGTTGCAAATGCCTTCCAATTCTTTTTGTTTGTGTTCATATTCTTCTTTTTCGGCCAGTTGGTTAGCATCCAACCATTTGATTGTTTCGTTAACTTTTTCCAAAATTGTGTTCTTGTCAGATTCTGGGATCTTTTCTTTGATTTTTTCATCTTCCATTGTGCTCTTCATGTTGAAACAGTAGGATTCCAAACCGTTCTTGGCAGCAATGATATTCTTTTGTTGTTCATCTTCATTCTTGTATTTTTCAGCATCATTAACCATGCGTTCGATATCTTCTTTGCTCAAACGTCCCTTATCGTTGGTGATGGTGATTTTGTTTTCTTTGTTGGTAGATTTCTCAATAGCACTAACGTTCAAAATACCGTTGGCGTCAATGTCGAAAGTAACTTCGATCTGGGGGACTCCACGGGGTGCAGGAGGAATGGAAGTCAGCTCGAATTTTCCCAACAAGTTGTTGTCTTTTGTCATGGCACGTTCTCCTTCATATACTTGGATCAAGACGCCAGGTTGGTTGTCAGAGTAAGTAGTGAAAGTTTGGGTTTGTTTAGTTGGGATGGTTGTGTTACGCTTGATGAGAGCAGTCATCACACCACCAGCAGTCTCAATTCCCAAAGACAGAGGGGTGACATCGAGCAACAATAAATCTTGGACTTCTTCAGATTTGTCTCCGTGCAAAATGGCAGCTTGTACAGCAGCACCATAGGCAACAGCTTCATCAGGGTTGATGGACTTATTCAATTCTTTTCCGTTGAAGAAGTCTTGCAACAATTTCTGTACTTTGGGGATACGGGTAGAACCGCCAACCAACACAATGTCGTTGATGGCAGATTTGTCCATTTTAGCATCACGTAGAGATTTTTCTACTGGCTCCATGGTGCTGCGGAAAAGATCAGCGTTCAATTCTTCAAAACGAGCACGAGTGATTGAGGTGTAGAAGTCAACACCTTCGAACAAAGAATCAATTTCAATGCTGGCTTGGGTGGAAGAGGAAAGAGTACGCTTTGCACGTTCGCAGGCAGTTCTTAAACGTCTAAGGGCTCTCTTGTTGGTAGTCACATCCTTCTTGTACTTGCGTTTGAACTCTTGTACAAAGTGATTGACCATTCTGTTGTCAAAATCTTCACCTCCCAAGTGAGTGTCACCAGCAGTGGACTTGACTTCAAATATTCCGTCTTCAATGGTCAAGATGGATACATCAAAAGTACCACCACCCAGATCAAAGATCAAAACGTTACGCTCTCCAGATGTTTTCTTGTCTAAACCATATGCAATGGCAGCTGCTGTAGGCTCATTGATGATGCGCATTACGTTCAAACCAGCAATAGTACCAGAATCTTTGGTAGCTTGACGTTGGGAATCATTGAAGTATGCAGGAACAGTGATTACAGCATTTGTTACTGTTTTTCCTAAGTAGGCTTCAGCAGTTTCCTTCATCTTGGTTAAAACCATTGACGATACCTAAATACAAAATTAAAAAAGATTATTATTTGTAATCTCATTTTTCTTTTAAGTTAATTGAATAGTACCTCTTCTGGGGAGAAGATTTTGTTTTCTCCTTTGTAGGAAATTCTGATTTTAGGTTTACCGCCATCACTGACTACTTCAAAGGGCCAATGTTTCATATCAGCTTGAACAGTAGCATCTTCAAAACGTCTTCCAATCAAACGCTTGGCGTCTATAATGTTTAAAGGACAAATTATTAACACCATTGACAATTGAATATTAGTGAAGCCACTAGTTTAACTATTAACTCAATATTTACCAAAGATTGTGTTGTTGGGGTTCATGGCGACCTGATTTTTGGCAGCATCACCAATGAGACGTTCAGTATCGGTGAAACCGACATAACTGGGTGTGGTACGGTTTCCTTGGTCATTAGCAATTATCTCTACTTTGCCGTGTTGGAAAACACCGACACAAGAGTAAGTGGTACCCAAATCAATACCAACAGCAGGAGTTTTGGCAGCCATTTTTCTTGGTATGGAGTTATTTAGTAAGGAATATATGAATTAAGTCTTGTAGTTTGACAATAAGTCCTGTAAAAATATATAAAAAAAATTTATAATTAGATATGTACAGTACTGGTGGTTTAACATTGGAATTATGTTTTACATATTCAGTATAACAAGGACACACGAAGTTAA